TGCAACACCCTGGATAAAATCGCAAGCTCAAGGGGAAAGTCTTCCACCTTTAAATTTTAAAAAAAGACAGAGAAGGAAAGAAAGAAAAAAAAGGGCTTGTTCTTGGTCACAGTTGGGGCATAGTTACACCTGAGAGCACTTCAGGGGACTAGTGTGTGTGCTGGCTGTGGAAAATTCAGCTGATGATAAAAACATGTAGCTGCCTTCCTGACTGAGGCTGACTGCTCTCAGAGACAGGCATCAAACTATATTGAGCAAGAATAACAGAGAAGTAATGTAAGTGACTGACATTTCTAGTAAAAAAAACCTGTTGCTGTTGAGTCAATTCCAACTCATAGTGACCCTTTAGGACGGAGTAGAATTGCCTCATAGGGTTTCCAAGGAGCAGCCGGTGGATTTGAACTGCTGACTTTTTGGTTAGCAGCCGAGCTCTTAACCACTACACCACCAGGGCTCCAATACTCCTGGTAGGCACCTTCAAAATGGTCTACAGATTTCACAGAAGAATGCAAAGGAAATCACTTGACCCTAAAAAATTTAAATGAGTGCTTATCATGGACAAGGAAGTACTCAAAAAGTCCTCAAGAAAAAATACTTTGCAAGGGAGATTTTGAAACACAGAGGATGTCCATGTGTAGATTTAGGAGACTAGACTTTGTAAAAAGGCATAAATGCTTTTGGATATCAAATTGGGTATAAGGGGTGAGGGTTTTTCAAATTAATTCAGTGAGTTGATCATTCCTAAATTAAAAATGCAGAGTTTTTTTCTTTTAATTGTCTGGAGTGAAAATTCACTCTCACAAATCCCTCTACAGCTTTTACATATATTGAAGACTTTCTAAAATAAAAATATAGGTTGAGGAAAGTGACTATGAGCATTAAAGGACAGTACGTATAATGTAATGTTTAATAGCAAACAACAGTCATAAACATGGTATACTCACATCGTAATGTAGTTATTGTTACTAAAAAATAACCTTTAATATAGAAATGATTGGCAAATCGCAATAAAAAATGTAGCAGGTATATCAACATGCTCAAAAAGAGACAATAAATTAATAACAGGCACAGCCTGCAGCAGCAAAAAAAAGTTTTCATGAACAATATGAAAAACTAACTTCTTAAACTCATCAAAACAAATGTTTTTAATGGGAGGATTCTTTAAAAACATATTTTCTAGAAAGTCTGCTAAGGTGAACTTAACAAAAGTTCCAGGAGGGAAGTTTTTTTTAATACTGTATACCTAATGCTCAGAACAGTGACTGGCACATGGTAATTGTTCAACAAATATTTGTTGGATAAGTAAGTGAGAGAAGAACGAACGAATGAACGAATGAATGAATGAACAGGAAGCATATACCATTTAAACTCTTGAGTCATTCTAGTTCCTTCACGTGAGAAAGGAGGTCTTGCTGACTCCAAGTTGCTAGAACAACTGTGAACTCTCTAACAAGTAAAGAATTCCCTACAAGACATCTCTTAAGGTTAGATAGAAAATAGAAGTTACTGATAAGCAAATCTATTTTATGACTCAAAAAAAAAAAGAAAACCAAACTCTTTATTTCACAAGTTTAAGAAACTACTTCATCATAGAGGTTGTCATGACTTTTAGAACATGACCTGCTTGCCTGCTCCTCTCACTGTCTCTGAAGCCAGCTACAATCACTCCCCCCTCTTGCTCACTGGGCTCCAGCCACTCCATCCTCTTTGCTACTCCTTAAACTCTCCAACCATGCACCCTCTGCCTAGAATGCTTCTCCCCAGATTTTTGCCTGCCTGTCTTTCTCATTTCCTTGCAGGCCTCTGCTGAAATGTCACTTTATCAGAGAGACCCTCCCTGACCATCCTAAATGAAATAGCCACCCTCACACCCAACTCTTGGCACTACCATTTCCCTGCCCTGCATTATTTTTCAGGGGTTTTCTTTGTTTCATTCACTTCTCTATCCCCAGCACTTGCAATAGTGCCTACTACATAGTAAGTGCTCAATACATATTTATTGAATAAATAAACAAACAAGGAGACAATAACATTTCATGTGACACTTCAGGGAGGCAATATGACATACTGAAAAATGTATGGCCTTTTGAATCCCATTTCTAATTACTCAGTATGTGTCTGACCTTGAGATTAACCTCCCTAAGCTTCAGATTTTAATTTGTAAAATGAGAATAATAATATTTATCTGGCACGTATTTAGCATCTAATAAATGCTAGTTCCGCTCCTGCCTTTCTCCCTGCCTCCTTTTTTGGTCAGGGGCTAAATGTGGCTGTGTTGTTAGAAAACAAACTTAAGTTGATTCACAAGTTCTGAGTTAGCTGTGAAATGTAAGGAATGATGTGTTGAGCAAGACGAGAAGTTCAGCAGACCCCTTAGCGATGCCATTTCCAACAATTACTGTTCACCACGTTTGTGTCTGATAACTGATAGGCCAGCTACTAAGGCACAAAAAGGACACTTTCTTTCCTGAAGGTGCTGTCATCTGATGGGAAACTGGATAGATGTACTCGAGGATGGTTTCATGTAGATACAGAGCTGTCTTGAAGCATGGCTATGTTTCAGAATAATGGTTAGTCTGGGAAGCTTTCCAGAGAGGTAACAAAAATACCAAAAGGGAGTATGGCTGGAGCAAGGGCTTTATACTGAAGCGTACTAGGGGAAACAGTAGAGAGGAAAGGTGAAGTCAGATTGTGGAAGGACATGGATGTCCAGTTGAAGAGACTAGATTTAATCCTGTAGTTAATAGGAAGGCACTCAAGTTTTTGTGTTAACGAAACATAAATCATATAATGAAAATGATAATGTTAAACATTCATAGAGGTTTCTAAAAGCCAAGTACTAAACAGTACTAACGAATCCAGTGACATTTGTGCAGAGAAACAAATGACAAGACTATAAATGAGAGTGAATCAATATCCTAATCTTCCCTGGTCATCACTGTTTGATCCACCATGGAGAAGAGGACACCTGAGCTGTAAGAGACTGAAGAGTTGCAAACCACAAGAGAGCACCAAAGAATGTCAACACTAACACAACAGAGTATGAAATCTGGCCTCCAAGCAACCAAGGGCTCCATCTGCAGTGTAGGGTTTAACAGCAGTACCTAAGATGATGTGACCTTCCTATCAAATTCCCTTTCTTGAGCCTACCCCTAGTTTCTTCTTCATGGTATGATTCCTTATTCCTTCTTAAGTCTGAATAAAAACATAACAACTTCATGGGTTCCAAAATGCTGAAACTCCTACTTCTGTGTACAGAAGAGTAGAAAGAAAAAGGTGACAGATTGTTTAATTTACCCTAAAGAGGAAAAATGGAAATCAACCTGTTACAGATGTTGCTAAAAGTCTTTCTACAGCAGAAATCTTTAATCGAATTTAGCAAGGAATAAAACCTTTAGGACCTAGGAAACCAGCGAGTTAACTTTGTGGTTCCCGAAGTTATAAAAGTATTGGCAGCTATATAACAAGATGACACTTGTATCTGCCTAGGTCTTGTATTTTTCTTGGGATCTACTCTTCTCACAGCATGGATATGATTTATTTAGACTCTCAAAGAGCTTTTGATAAAGTTTCTCACAAGAGGCTATTATTGAAAGTTGGTAACCATGGTGTGAAAGGAAAAAATCATATCAATGAATTAAATGATTTATTAAAAACTACTTGAGAGACCGAGAGGCAAAAAGCAGAAATAAATGGCTGATTCTCATGTGGAGAAAGGTTAATGATTGAGGGCTCTGGGGCTCTGCGGTAGAATCAGAGTTATATTTAACTAATGACCAGAAAAAAGGAGCCCAATTTTCTTTCCCCTCCATTCTCTGCATATCAGTCCCACACACAGAGTACCTATTGATTGGAAGGGCATTTGGCACATGGAGAAGATACGGGCAGCGTAGAGAAGAAGTGCTTAAAAATTTAGAAAAGAGCAATTAGGTAAGTGAATGTTGACCCAGAAATTCATATAGAGATCCCCAAATATAAAGAGGACAGAAATAAAAACTATATTAGCAGAATTTTATTTTCTAAGAACTTCAAAATATACTATATAAAAACACATGGGGCTTTTCAAAATGAAAAGATGTGCTATTAACACAAAAACATCTAATTTATTGGCAGAATGAGAGTGGATTTTTATTACTAAAGAAAGCATTTTGATTCGTGAAAACCACAAAGCCTATTTCTATAGATTGAGGAGAAATATGGAAGAAAACAAAAGTGTAACTTATAGAAAAGAGTAAGAATTTTTACTTTTTCTGAGGCAAACCAGAAAAATAGGTACAGGTTTTAACAAAAGCATAACCTGACATGAATATGGAAATCAAATACTTTAATATTTGTCCTTTATGACCCATAACTCATTCTGGCATTTTCAGTGACTTTGAGTTATCATAATAACAAACACTCACAGGAGGAACTCAAAAAAGACAATAAACTCTTGACTTAACCTCCCTTTGCCTCATCTTTAACTGTAAAATGAGGGTAGTAGTACTTACCACACAGGACTGTTGTAAGGGTTAAATGAGGTAATGTGTGTAGAACATTTAACAAAGCAAAAGTACACTAATAATAATAGTATTAGTATTATCACTTAAGATATACTAAACACAAACAATTACATGCCAGGAAGAAGCAACCTAGTTCAGGTGATTGTGGTTTTCTTAGTTTTATCACAGTTATGATTCAGTATTGAATACCAAACCAAACCAAACCCATTGCCATCAAGTCAATCCGACTCACAGCTACCCTATAGGACAGAGTAGAATTGCCCCATAGGGTTTCCAAGGAGCAGCCAGTGGATTCGAACTGCCTACCTTTTTGTCGGAACATATAAAATGCCTTTGAACAAAATATATATATAGCTTTAAAATATCTTCCCACTAACCAATTTTGTAAAATAGAAAAGAATTATAAGTTGATCTAAATAAGCCAAAGATATCAAAACACTAGATAAATGCTTATTGCACATTAATTTATAAATGTATAAACATCAGATCCAAGCTTACCGTGCAGATAGTATTTTAATGAGCTCTTTTCTATTCTGAACCCGAAGGTGGTTAGTTTTATACTTGGAGTCATCAATCAATTCAGGCAAATTCAGGATCTAAAAGGGAAAAATAATTTTAAAGTATAATTCACGAATTTTTCATGTTATTTGCTTATTGGTGCTAGTGTTCAGGGCCTAAAGCGTATTCCCACAACTATTCCTTGGTAGTCTTTACACCTGTCAACAAAGGCATAAAGAAGGAAAGATCATACAGTTAGGATGGATCATGCCGGGGACTGGTTTTGTCACTTACAGGAGGTTTTAACTAGGTTTAAGCAAATATGTAAGCACAGAAGGGTTATCAGAACCCATTAAGTCTTGTGCCTATATATGACCATATAGGAAAAGTTATCTGACCTCATAATAAGTCTTGTCTAGAGGAAGTAGTCCCTTGGTGGAGGAAATGGTTAATGTACTTGGCTGCTAACCAAAAGACTGTAGGTTTGAATCCACCCAGAGGCACCACACAAGAAAGTCCCGATGATCTACTTCGAAAAAATCAGCCACTGAAAACCCTATGTAGTACAGTTCTACTCTAACACACATAGGGTCACCATGAATCACAGCCTATGACAACTGGTTTGGTTTTGATTTTAGAGGAAGTAAGGAGAGAGGTACAAAATAGGGTCAAACTGAACTACTTCAGAAAACCAATATCATAAGTGCATGTGTATGCACTTAAATGAAGCTCAAAATATATCTTATAGGTACATTCATTTATATGTTCCACATGTAAATAAAATAGTATTATTTGTCCCAGTAGCCCTATCCAGGATGTTTGGACAAGGTGCTAAAATAAAGTGAAAGCATATACATTTACCCCAAATGCTCACCATTAAAACAATGTCAAATTAAAAGATATTCCTCGTATAGAAGTGTCATGATTTTTCTTTAATATGTCTCCCTGAAGGAGTAACGAAGAGAAATGCTTTCATATATTTCCTCTTTTGCTCCTCCTCAATAAAGGGAAAAATCTATCTTGCAATTCCCTTCAGAGATCGTGCAGTTTTCACAAGACCATAATGAAAGTACCAAGTGGATTTGGAATGGAAATGGAGTTTTAAAAAGAATGTGTGGAGGCAGCGTTTGGCAGTTGTGTTGGAAAGTCAGAATGCGCATTTATGGGATAGGGGCAGGCAATGTGGCCTACAGAAAGCTTCCCCACCTCTATTAACATATTTGCTTTAAATATAAACATTTAATGTTTCCATTTGTTTCCCACAGTTTAAATAAAATCAAGCCATTTATCATCTTATAAAGGAGACAGAAGTGAAGAAGGTTCCCTGGAGGAAAGAGAACATCTCGATGGTGGGATTTCTCCTCCACATATTTCACTTAGGTATTCATATCCTTTGGGAATAATAAAGGCAGCATTACTCTCCCGGATGTTAAAAAGTGATGTCACATACAGTGCCATTTCTAAAACAAACTCTCCATCAACAACCTGATTCCAGAATTGATCTCAAGGCTTATCCAGTAATCAGAAACCCTGCCTCCCTAAGAGTGAATAAGTCATCTCAAGAAAAAGCAAGTGTCTTCACTAAATCACAGATTAAGATTATAAATCTGGCCTCACCCTGAATATATTATGAGCTACATAAAGAACTATTGAGTGATTGCACTCCAGGGTAACTGGGAATCTCTCATGTACCCTTCTCTGTATTTGACTTATTGGACCTCTTTTCTTCCTGAAAGTTGGTGTGAAGCACTGGGTCAAAGTAGTTGTCCTGTCTTCAGCTATGCCAGCATCCAAACTGTTTCTAGAGAGACTCCTTCAAGTGCTGTGATCATAAGATTTTTTTAGACGATTGAAAAGAGTGCTTCCTAGGATAAAATATAATAATATATGTGAATGCACTTGACACATTATGCGCTAAACAAATGTAAAGTTGTCCAACTAGGTACTGTTGTTAGGTGCCGTCAGGTTGGTCCCAACTCATAGCAACCCTCTAGGACAGAGCAGAACTGCCCCATAGGGTTTCCAAGAAGCTGCTAGTGGGTTTGAACTGCCGACCTTTTGGTTAATAGCCAAGCTCGTTACCACTACACCATCATGGCTCCCTAGGTACTATTTCCTCCAAAATAAATAATAAAGCATAGGCTTGTTTAAAAAAAGGAGGGAAGGTGGGAGGGAGTGACAGAGAAAGGGAAAGAAGAAGGGAAGACAGAAGGACTCTGTGAAAAATGAAGAGACGCGATAACAGAAACTGCAAAGTGTTTTAATACTCCTATCTTCCAATGGCTCCCCATCTCCCTTAGAGCAAAAGCCAGACTCCTTATGATGATCCAAACGTTCTACACAATATGGCCCCCTTACCGTAACTAAGCAACAACAACCAACTACTGTGGCAACATTTTCTGCATCCCCTATGTTCATTCTGCTGCAGCCACACAGGCTTCTTGCTGTTCCATGAACATGTCTATCACACTTCTCCCTCTGACTTTTGCACTGGCTATTTCCTCTGTCTGAAACATCTTCCACCAGACATCCAGTTGGCTAACTCCTTATCTCCTGCATTGAGTTGGCTCAAATTTACCTTTTAAAAGGACTACCCTGACCACCCCCATAATAGCTCACTCTACTCCCCGCAACCCATTACTCCCTTGTTCCTCCTTCCCCTGCTCTATTTCTCCCATTACCCTCCGAGGAGTCCCTGGGTGGTTCAAATACTTAACATGTTCGACTGCTAAACGAAAGGTTGGAAGTTTGAGTCCATTCACAAGTGCCTTGGAAGAAAGGTCTAACAATCTAATTCAGAAAAAAAATCAGCCATTGAAAACCCTACGGAGCGCAGTTCTACTATGACACACACGGGGTTACCATGACTTGAAGTTGACTC